TTGGAAAATGTGAGAAATTCTGGAGGACAAATCTCTTATTTTTACACAGGAAGAATCTGAGCCCCAGAATGAGAGATATGTGTCACTGGGGGAGGGTGAGTGAAGGGCGGACCCCACATGCCTAAAAGGATTAGGAAGGGAAACCTCCGTGAGCCCAGGAGGCTTAAGTTGACAATAGGAAAGGGCAAGGTCTGTAGCAAACTGAAAATCCTTGTCTAAAATGGAGGAGCCTCCCTCAGCGGCAGCCAGTGGCTACCGTGCAGACTGTGGGCCCACTGTTGCCACAAATAGCAAACTTCCAAGAGACGATAGAAATAAAGATTTTTCTAAGAAATTTCTTCATGTTTAAATGTTGACAACTTTAAAAATATATTTTTTTAAACATCGTGTAGGCCAAATTTCTCTTGGCTACCAGCTTCCAGGGGCTTCCCTCATGGCTGAGTTGTAAAGAACCCACCTGCCAATGTGGGAGACATGGGTTGGGAAGACCCCCTGGAGAAGAAAATAGCAACCCACTCCAGTATTCTCACCTGGAAAATTCCACAGACAGAGGAGCCTGGTGGGCAACAGTCCATGGAGTTGCAAAGAGTCAGACATGACTGAGCACAAAAACAAAACAACAAGTCCCTATGTGAGGGTTGTGGCTGTCCTAGAAACTCACCCCAAACGTGCTTCAGATATACCCTCCAGAGCTACAGCTCCTCTATAGTAACAAGTGTCCCTTCACCATCCTCTGGCCAGTCTCTTCATCCTTTGGGTCTCATTGGATCTTCCCAACCTTCTTGGCCCCCAGGAACACTTAGGCCTTGAACACAGCACATTGTCACTGATTGCCCTGCATCACAGGTGGCAGTCTTTTACACTAAACTGCACATATTCTTAAAGACAAAGACCTTGTTTTTACACTTTTGCAGCCCTGGGACTTAGTGCCCAGTGCATGATCAGCTTTCAGGAAATAGCATTAAAGAAGTGAATGTGTTGCTATTGATTTCCTTCGATGATAAACTTTCTAAGGACAAGCGCTACCTCTTAGAGGCTACCTCTATTCTCTGCAGCACCTAGCAGAATTATAATCAATATTCAATCAGTTAAGTAATTTGTGTGGTTTGCAAAATATGAGGCTAACTCCTGATCAAAGAACTCACAACCTTTTTCTGCAAGTCATCCTCATGTGCCCACCAGAAATTTCTATGCCTTGAATTCTCATAGCAGTTCTCTGGGCACTTCTGCTTTGGATTTTATCTGTTGATGTTTGTGTCTCATAACTTCACTAGGCTGGAAACTCTTTGAGGTCAGAGTAGGTTTCTGATTTTTTTTTTTTTTTGTAGACTTCAATATAACCAGCATAGCCTTTGCTCATAATAAGCACTCAAATAGGATGAGATGGTTGGAAGGCTTCATCAACTCAATGAATGTAAGTTTGAACAAACTCTAGGAGATAGTGAAGGACAGGGAAGCCTGCCATGTTGCAGTCCATGGGGTCGAAAAGAGACATGACAAAGAACAACAACAAAATTCTTTCTTAGTGCTCTTCATGAATACAACCTTTTTACACAGTTTCTTATGTTTACTTGTGCTCTGTGCTAAGTCTCTTCGGTCATCAACTCTGCAACTCTATAGACTGTAGCCTGCTATGCTCCTCTGTCTATGGGATTTTCCAGGTAAGAACACTGGAGTGGGTTGCCACCCCCTTCTCCAGGGGATCTTCCTGACCCAGGAATCAAACCCGCATCTCCTGCACTGCAGGCAGATTCTTAACGCTGAGCCTCTGGGGGAATCCTGATGTTTATCTGAGGATTGTTTAAAAGGAAAAAAGAAAGATTCAATTCAGTTTGAGGGACACTGGCCTGGTGTTAAATCATGCCATTGAGGGTTTTCTTCATTTAAAGGAACCACATCTCACTGCTTGCAGCCTTCTACCAAATCTCAAAGAATAAAATTGAACCCATATAGTTGAAAATTGAGGAAACAACGATTTAATAAGGGTTATAGTAAGGCCTCTCAAAAAATGCTTCGAAACTACTTACAATTAACAATATACAAACAGCTCTTTCCTAGCCATGACAACTTTCTTCACTTGGGAAATAAAATATGTATTATGGGAGATTACTTACCTTCATGAGTCCTTTCATTATAGAAATTTAATTTACTTAGGGCCTTGATGAACTGCAGGAGGGAGGAGTCAATACTATTTCTGCCACTGAGGTAAAGTTGCCAGTGGAAAAAGTAGGTATTTTCCACAAACAACACACCTTAGAAAGAGGAGGGGATTTCTGCCCCCTCTGTAACATTTCCACCTACTTGCAACAAGTAGGGTTAATGGCATTTAAAGCAACAACTGAAAAATACTAGCAGCATTTAGAGGCAGTATCTGCCCTGGTAATTGCACACTTGTTTACAATTAACTCAGTTGTTTGAGTGGATTTTTCAACGCCTTGTTACTTTTGTGTTATGTTCAATCAGGAACGAATAGCAACTATTGAAACTTAAAAACCAAAACTTCAAAATCCCGTGAATTGTTGGGATTTTTCTGAAAGCAAACAACGTCAAGGATGCACATTACCACTTTCATATCTCTAAGCACTCTGAAATAAGAATACACATTCAAAACACTTTTCTTTAAATGCGTATATCGTGTTATAAGCAACAAATTTCTCTGATGCCTGAGAACTTTTTCTATTGCCATCACCCAAGTTTTAGTAATAGACACACTGCATTGACACCTATCAGGTGCCAGGTAGTTTGCATTCATTATTTGTAAATCAGAGTCAGACATGACTGAGTGACTGGGCACATACATAAGCTGCTCCTCCCCACTGTTCCTTCCTAGTTTAATTTACTCATCTTTGCAGGAGGGTCTTTAATCAAGTAGTTTTGAGAAAGAATTGAAAGTATTTTTACTTAATGGGAAGGAAAAAAAATCTGTTTAAAACTCACTGCTCTCCATCTTCTGATAATGTAAAAAGCAACTATTAAATAGCAGTTATGTTTTGGATCAGGCACTAGCTTAAATAAGATACAAGCCTAAACAGGGACTAAAACTCCACATTTCTGGTAGATGTGGAAAAACAGAAACTTAATTGCAAGGTGAAGGGCTCATGTGCCTATGTTATTCCTAAGATAGGCAAAAACTTGGTGCTTTTTGTAACTGTTAGCTGGCATTTCTCTCCTTGGATTTCTACTTTTTCCAGATTGTACATAGTCATGACAAGGGTGGGAGACAGATGGCCGGGGAGCCATCGGGTGTTGGGGGGGGGAGGGTATGGTTTGAGAAGTAGGCAAAGAAAAATCCCGTGTACCAAAGCTATATTAGGCCTCTCCTCAGTAGACATTTTTGCTTTCTTTGGCTGCATGTCCAGAAGATTGTTGCAGTTAATTATCAAGTGACTGTTCCAAGTAAAAGATGACTGTTCTGCTAAAGCCTTTCATTTCTTTTTCTCTTTTTTTCCCTCTCCCATCTAATTTAGCCAAACCCCTCAGAACCATAGCACCCATGTTCAGCTGGAAGGCACACAGCTCTAGAAAGGGAAAAAGGGCACCAGAATCTTCAACAGGCCACTTTCCTGTTTCCTGAATGTGCTTCTGCAAAATGCAGCCTTGGACCGTTCCAGTCACTTTCCAATTGGCCTTCTTACCTATGGCAGCTTATCCAATAACCCGTCTTTCAGTGCCCAGCGTTATCTTCCTGAAACACTGATCACGTCACTCCCTGCGTGAAGGCGTCTGCAGACTGGGCAAAGTTTACACAAGAAAGCCCAAATGCTAAGGGTGACATGGAACGCCATTCCCAGTCTGGGCCTAATCCCCACCTACCTTTCAGCCTTCTCGCTCCCTTATCTTTCTATGCCAGAGGCACACACAGAATCACTCATGGTTCCCTGAACAGGTTTTGGTCTTTCAGGCCTCCACACCTTCCCAGAAACTAGTGCTGCTGCTAGCAATATCCTTTTCCTGTTTTAAGATCCAAATACAATGATCTCTTCCCAGGGAAAATTTCACTGGTCTTGCAGGTAGGTCTTTGGTGACTCCCTTCCCCTCTGCTTCTATAACATGTTGCATATAATCTTATTATAGCACTAGTTATCATTTAACTGTATTTATCCAGGTTTTGCAAGTGCAATTTCCCACACCACTTTTCCCTAACTCCAACCCTACTCCTAAATCACCTTTGTTTTTCTGACTTTTGGTGTAGGGTAGAGCAGGGCATCACTAAAATGTCCAATAAATAAAAATATTATGCGATGTTCAGCCCAAATGTTTTGAGTAGAAAAGTATTTTATATACATACAGACCCACACACCTATATATACAGATGCACATATACTATATATACATGATTTCACATGGGTTTTAATTTTTCCATATTGAAAAAGAAACTTGTTTAAAAGAAAAAGTACAAGTTAAAAGAAACAAAAGCACACATTAAGAAATGATGCAATTATTCCATACCAGTTTATTGTACGTATTGTTTCAAAAAATTTATAGCATAAATAACCTTTCATGTCATAAAATAACTTAGTACAATTTATAATAAAACTTTTGAGAATTTAACATCTCATCAGAATACAATAAAATATGGTTTTAAAATATGATTAACCCTTTTTTTTTTTTCCTAAACTTGAGGGCATAGAAACCAAAATTACCCAAACTATGGCTGCACATTTAAACTTTAACAAAGCATATTTGGTTTATTTAAATCTAACTCAACCATCCTAAATTAATACACAGTTTTGTTTTCCTTCCTGCATGGTTCTTTGTAATTTCTGTTCCTTTTGACTTGTATTTCTGTTTCCACACAGCTTCCTTCTTCATTTTCACCTCTTTCCATCTGCAAAGTCATCTATCTCCGGGCTCCCAGAACATGTAGTTGAACTCACTCAGCCCCTTGACATCAGTTTCTGTAATCCTTGCATCAGTGTAGGGAGTAACTGCTTGAGTAACTACAAAAGTATTTCAAAACTTCAGTGCAATTTGGTTCAGTTATTTTCATTCAGATGCCATCACCGTTCAGGGAGATTAATCACTGGAACCCACTGATCCATGTAGCGACTTTCCCGGCAGAAACAAATAAGTTGACTTAATGCGGGATCCTTCCACTGTGATGAATGTGGATTCTGGGAACAAATTTAGAAAAAGTAAAATTATTATTTTTTAAAAAGTCAGACTTTGCTACTAATTATACTACTTCTGAGGGGAAGATGCTTGAACATTCTATCTTTGGCTGTGTGACAGACCACTTAAAACCATAAAAATAATTTTTCTAGTAGTTTGGTTTCCTGCAAAATCGTTAAGGGGTAATTCTCTACGAAGCTATACTCTGCAAAGTCTGAACACATGCAACTAACTGAGCTATATATATGTTTTCATATTTATTCACTTTTTGCATGACAGTAGGCTTGTCCTACCAAACTTTTACCTTGGTGGACACCTGAGAAATACTTCCATGCTGGGCTACCAGCAGTTTAGAGCTGCAGAACAGTTAACTTAAACTGCCACCTGTTATCCTCCCAAAAGAGAGAGTAGTATTTTTCAGGAGTAGCAAAATAATGAGGCTGCCACTTTAGGAGATCAAACAGTCCCAAAATGTAAAAGACAAAACAATCACATTTACCTCTGTAAACACAAGTTTATCTACCTTTCAAAGGTTTTTATGGGGGCAAGGGGACATTTAAAAAACTGCAAGATCACAAAGAAAAATTTCCACTCTATCCCCTTAATGTATTTCTAGGGAATTAATGAGGTCTGTCTCCTACACCATTTCTATTTTTAGCTCTGACTGGCAGAGAATGAAGCTGACTCCTTAATGAGGGTGAGCCAGGAATTTATTTGGCTTTATCTAATCTGCCCTGCTAAAGGAATTAGTCACGGGAGGTAGTGCAGAGTAGGTAGGGAGTAGCTGGGCTGACAATGCTGACTCACAAGGATCTCTTCCGCTTCTGGCAGCCTCCAACGTGCTTAGACACGTTCTGTCCCAGAGAAAATCCCCATGATGAAACTAGCACATCTCGGCTGAAAGTCCAGTCACACACTTTAATGGGGCAAAGGCGCCCGTCTCTTGACCCTCGCCCATTTCAGTTCTGGAGTCAGGCGACCATGGCCCTCGCGAACTTCCTGCCAGGACTCTAACCTCGACCTGCCCCCGCAAGTCCACTTCTTCCTTACCGTCACCAGCACGCAGTGCAGGTCCGGGGGCTGCTCTGCGCCCTCGCTGGCCGCGGGGCCCGCATCGGTCTCCAGGAGCAAGAGTTCGGCCAGCCGGCCAGGGTTGCTGACACGCAGGATGTCGATATCGTTCTCGCAGCAAAATGCCTGGATCAGGGTGAAGTGGATCTGCAGAGCCACGTCCCTGTCGTCGTCCTCGTCCGCCGCCAACAGGCACAGCACCACGTTATCCGGGTCGCTGCGTGCAGGGAACGAACGGGCTGGTGAGCCCAAAGGCAAGACCCGCCGCGTGGCAGCCCGCAATCCCCCCGCCCAGGTGCCAGGGGTCGCGCCCGGGTCCACTCACTCCCCCTGGGACAAGGAGCCGCGGAACAGAAGGAACGCGGCAGGAAGTGGCGCTGCAGGGCGAAGGGAGACCGGTGAAAGCGACCTTCTCTGGCTGGGGCGAACAGGAGAACCACGAGGGTCACGCGAGGGCTCCACTTACACGTTGAGCAGCTTGGCCGCCTCGTACACCCCGACGGTGATGGTGCGCTGACTCAGGGCTTTGCTGAGCACTTCCTCGAGGGCATCCCCCACCTTATCCATCCTACACGCGTGAAGAAGCAAGGGAAACCCGTCACACTCAGCACCTCCGGGGAGACGCCGCCTCCTCGCCCTGCACCGCGACCCTCCCTACCGAGGGCACGCGCCCCTCGAGCTTTTGCAAACCCAGGACTCCCTGGGATGTCGTCCCCTTCCCCCCATAACCCTTACGCCCAGAGGCCCGGCATCTTGTGAGCAGCCCCGAGAGTGACACCCGCCACCCTTTCCCGAGTGCACTGCTAGTCCTTGGCGCTGGGTGCAGCCACAGGCTGTCGGCCGCAAGAGCCGCACGGGCAGGGACGGTCACTTCTGCCCTCTGCAAAGCCTCGAAGGGCTCGACCGGCATGCGGGGTACGCTCTTCCCGTCCAAGCGCGCCTCCGGAGTGTTCCAGAGGAAGAGGCGGGATAGGAGGTACCCGATGCAAACTTTGAACCACTCACTCCCCATTAACCTTGCATAGCCCGGCAGCACCGGAGTGCGCGCAGAAGGCAAGAAGAGTTCAGGCAGAGGCTCTGGCAGACTTACCTTTCGGTCTTCTGCTCTCCAGCCGAGAATTCCTCCAAAGTCATATTGCAACTGCAGGTCGCCCACAGAGAGAGAGCGGCGTGCGGGCTGCTCCTGCCACCGCCGGCGCACGGGCGCCTGCTTTCCACACTCCCTTGCAGGCTCCTCCAGCGCCCGCCGCCGCCGCCGCGCCGTCCGCCCCTCCCGCCCCGCTCGCTCACTTGCTCGCTCGTCGGCTCTCAGCAACCCACTCGCCACTGACCGCGACACAAACAACCACAGCTGCCTCACAGCCACTGAAGGACAAAGGCCCCGCTCGCTGGAGTTATCCTGCCAACCCCCAGCCAACCACCATCCTCTTCATTTGCATACGCGCAGCCATTGGACTATGCAAATCAGCCTGTTCAGACAATTTGACCTCAGCTCCAGGAACCAGGCCGAGAGAAGCGGAAGAGGGAGGGGCCAGGAGGAAAAAGAGCCTAGGGGGCGGGGGCGGGCGGGGTTCCGAGCCTACTCTCTCCCGGTAGGCGGGGCGAGTAGGAGAGGAGATCTTTGTAGGGGGCGGGGAGAGGAGGGTGTCTTCAGCTTGGGCTGGAGCTGGCTGGCACTTTTTTTTTTAATTGTCGTTTCAAGTCTTTTGTTTTGGGGGGCTGCTATTAACATCTATTTTCAGGGTTAATGCACCCAAGTCTAGTAATTATTAGTACGCAGGTTATATAAAAAGAGTGTATCCAGACCTCTGGGGCAAAGTTTACCTCAGAAGTGTTGTTTATGTAAGTCTAAGCAAAGCTGCTTATTAGTAGTAGTATTATTTCGGTGCCCTGATGGCTGGTTTGATTTATTTTTGGAAAGTTGCAAGGGTTGGAAGCTCAAAAAAGAAAAATCAACACATTTTTGTTTGGTGGTGGCGGGAAACCAAGTTGGAATCTTTTACACAGAAAGCAGAAAGACTTCCCACCTGCCCAGGGTAACTGTGGAAAACCAAGTCCAAGAGGAGCTGGTTACCACATGTATAGCCATTTTATCCTAGCCTCACAACCCCGATTCAGCTTTCTCAGCCTTCCCCAAAGGAGAATCCTTCTACAGGGCACCAGCTAAGAGACAAATGTCTGACACCCACACAAGCCACACATCTAAACTCAAAATGCTCTGGATATGCCCTCAGGTTCCTTTCATAAGGCAAGTATGTCACTACCTTCCACAGGGGGCCTATGATCTCACTGTGAATTATTGATGTTAGTTGCTGAATCATGAAGTTGCAGCTATAGGTCCTTTTAGTCATAGGCTAAAATTTCACCTTTGAGATAATGGCAATCTGTGGGTGGAAAGAAAGTAGTAGTTATACATTTTTGAAAAACAAATTGAATGTAGAGTTTGAAAGTTCTTTGTATCATGAGTTTATGCAATAAATGCAAAAATATGTGTTAAACCTACTGAAGTCACCAAAAGTGGTATTAAAAAAAAAATACTCCCATATGCTTGCTTTCAAAACAATGCTTGCATTTTTAAGGTCACTGTACAGACAAAGGTCACAGAAGTAATTTTCTGCTAAGCTACAAGGGAGTTTTTGTACCCGTATGTTCATATCATTCTAGACAAAATATTCTTCAGCTTTCTTGATCTTAATTTATGGGAAAAGAAAAGTGATAAGTCAGGTTTTCTGGCTCATTTATTTGAGCTGCCATTTTGCACTTCATCTCTAACTGTGTTGTCAGCAAGGGACAAGTTTTGACTAAAGGAATGGTGCTCGTCTGTGGGTCATTTACCCAGAAATGTATGTTTCATATCTATACCTTAAATTCTAACATATAGCGTCTTTGTTAAATAATTCCTTTAAATTGGAATTTAGGAAGGTGCTGAAGCATTTTCAGTTTTGCAAACAAAACCTGAATTATGCAATCTGGCCTGAGTCATCATCTGGAGACTGTTGAACTCTGTTCTGTGGAACTCCAAGATTCTACCCACTAGGTGTTTCCTTAGAGGTTCCTTGGAAGAACTGTGATCACTGTAAACTGACAGCAAATTAGGGAATCGAGTGCGCTTCTTGACAGCAGGGAGTGTGACTTCATCAATGTGGTATTCTTGGCACCTACCACAATTTCTGCATTTGGTGGAAGCATGGCCAGTGTTCACTGAGTTAAGTAGAATCTGAATTGAACAATAAGATCTCAGAATACTGCAGTCCTGTACAATGCATGAATTCTAAGATATTCCACATTTAATTTTAGTTTGGAAAAACTTCTTTGCTATCCTACAATATACCAAGAACTGTACAATTCCTGGCCCTTTGCCTTTAAAGTGCTTACCATCTAATTGTTATGCCCATGCTTGAACTGGGTTTTGGGACAAAATAGTATGCACTGTCATCAGCCAGCTATGCTGAAAGTCCCATGACTTTAGTCATCTGAACGGAAACTGTAGGACAGTAGAACCCATGTATTGTTATTCCAATTCAAGTGAACCACAGCCCTAATAATGCCCCACCCAGGTCAACTATAAGCAGTAAAAATGCAGTATAAAAAGATTTCTTCTTAATATAGGCCCAGTTTCTCACTCAACAAGTACACTGCATTCTTTTTTGATTTCAAGGGAAAGTGATTTGTTCAAGTGTTATGGGGTTGTTCTCTGTGAGATAAGCCTAGCCTTCCAGTATTCAAAAATATTCATCTGTCATACTTTCTGACTCAGATATGTTACACCATTTTGCCTCATTGCTGAGTCTACCTAGACTGTTTCATCACTGATTATTTTGGTGTTTCCCACTGGAAGTAGAACTGCATTTGATTGCAGTTATATATTAGGATGAATTTAGATGATACCTTTCATAAATGCTTATTAGTCCCTGGGGAGGATGGTATTCAATGATAAATTAGAGGAATAGCCCTAGAAAGGTACATATGTGTATATGTACTTTTTTCATATATTTTAAAAATAATCTGTATTAAAATATAATTCCAATATATAAAATCATTTTAAAAATTATCCCAGGTAACTCCAAGTACTTCAACTGCACAGAACTGGAATGACCTTCTAGTAATATTTATAATGATGCTAAATGGTTATATTTGAATGTTAGATAAAAATATATATATACTCAGGAGTTGTCAATTTTAGCACTGCTGCCTGCTTTACATCTTAAAAGTCTTTTTTTTTTTCATTATTATCATATATTCTTACTACTGGTTCTGTAGTATAGAATGATAAATTTTCTCTTTCAAAAAGTCATCAATCCTTTAACATCTGAAGGAAATATGATGCTTATTATTTCAGTATTAGACATATTATTCTTCACATTGAAGGATATCAATTAGTCTATTACAGATGTATTAACTATTAATACTTATCTAGAACTGTATTATATTACATTTTGTTGTTAAAAATCCTAAGGTTCCTGAAGTATTTTTTTGTATAAGTCTGGTAAAGTTAGTTTCTAAAGTCAGGCTCTCAATTTCCCTCAATTTTTTTCTCAGAGAAGACCAGACAACTTACACCTAAAAATGTATACTTTCTTAAGAGCAATATTTCCATTTGAATTTAACATAAACATTTATTTTCTTGGACCATCTGGTAGGCAAATTCTGAGTGGCCTCAATGATATCTAACCCCAATGTTAAGCTTTATGTAAGCCTTTTCCTTTGCATGTGGGCAGAACCCATTCCTTGTTTCAAACCAGCAGAATATGACAATGGTGTTGAGTTATCACACCCATGATTATGTTATATTCTATGGCAAAGGTGAAAGTACTTTGCAAGAATACGTATTTAGTTGACTTTGAGTTAATCAGGAGGAAGTTTGACTGTAAATTGATAGAGTCACTATGGAGAACAGTAAAAAGCTAAAAATAGAGCTAGCATATCATCCAACATCCCCACTCCTAGGCATTATCTGGAGAAAAACTTGGTTCAAAAGTATATATGCATCCCATTGTTCATTGCAGCACTGTTGCAATAGCAAAGACATGTGGTAGTTGCTCAGTCACGTCCGACTCTGTGACCCTATGGACTGTAGCCCGCCAGGCTCCTCTGTCCATGGTATTTTCCAGGCAAGAATACTGGAGTGGGTTGCCATTGCCTTCTCCAGGGGATCTTTCCAACCCAGGGATTGAACCTGGGTCTCCCACATTTCAAACAGATTCTTTACCACCTGAGCCACCAGGGAAGCCCTAAAGTTCAGAGGAATGGATAAAGAATATGTGGTACATATATACAATGGAATATTACTCAGTCATTGAAAAAGAATAAAATAATGCCATTTGCAGCAACTTGGATGGACCTGGAGATTATTATACTAAGAGAAGTAAGTCAGGCAGAGAAAGACAAAGATCATATGATATCACTTATATGCAGAATATAAAAAAATGATACAAATGAACTTATCTACAAAAGAGAAACAGACTCATGGACTTAGAAAATGAACTTATGGTTACCAGGGGTAAGGTTGGTAGAAGGGATAGACTAAGAGTTTGGGGCTTCTGGGTACCCACTGCCATATTAAAAATAGATAACCAACAAGGATCTATAGTATAGCACAAGGAACTCTGCTCACTATTCTGTAATAACCTAAATGGGAAAATAATTTGAAGAAGAATAGAAAAATAAATAAATAAAAAGGGAGATTATGCTAGGTGGGCCTAACCTAATCACATGAACCCTTTAAAAGAGGGCTCAACCTTCTCTGAAGAAGTACTGGAAGCATCAGAGACTTTCTTTCTTCACTGCTGGTTTTGAAGGAACAAACTTCCATTAAGCTGCAAGAAAATGGATGTTACCAACAAGCTGAGGGAACTTGGCAGTATACCGTTCTCTAGTCAAGCCTTCAGATGAGAATGTAGCCTGGTCAATACTGATTTTAGCCTTGTGAGACTCTAAAACGATCACCCTGCTAAACCACACCCAGACATCTGACCTGCAGAAACTATGTGATAATACGTAAGTGTTGTTTTAAACCCCTAAGTAACTTGTTATTTGTAATCTGTTATGTAGAATCAAAGCCCCATACAATATCTTTAACACTATCTTGTTGTGTGTTCAATAAATTCTTACCCTATGGAAATTTTCTTCAACTA